AGAAAAATCAAAGACATTTTAATCAACAGGCAAAGTTTATGCTAGATGCTGCCTAATATTGAATAAAACATTATATTCTAAACCATTTCTGTTAGCATTTCATGTTCTTTACATGTATTGTTGTGTGCTTATTTTCAACAGCTGTTTATACCACACAGACTGATCCTCACGTAGCTGTTACTACAAACAGTAACTGAACCAGCTAAACAACACAAACCTGTGAAGATGAACATATGAATTACTGTGGATCGTAGGTCATCAATAACAATTTGATGGAGTTCGGGATCTATTTAACAACTATAATTTTAAATCTTTTGTTAATAAAACCAAAGATTTAAAATTTAAAAATTATTTCTGTAACACTAAGATGTTTCCTGTGATCTGTGAAGCTTTTTGAAATTTACATTCTGTTTTCTGGCTGTCAGTTTAAATATTTCAAGAGCTGGTGTTACGACCCGGCTCAAAAGCCGCAACATAAAAAAAAGGAGATGAATAACAGAGTGTGGGTGGGAAGAGGTTTCATCCTAAAATGGAAAACCAGGTTGGCTAAAATGGCTGGTGCCACCAAGGCAAAGACTAGTGCACTGCCGGAAAGCTTGCCTCAGGTATGCTTTTATCCACACCTGACTAGGTGTGGCCAATTAGCACCAGCTGAAAACACTGAGACGATTAAAAGCTGCAGAGGGACGTAACACCTCCTCCCTTAAAAGGGTTCCTCTAGGACCCTTAAATTTATTAAAAGCCCCTCTGAAGCCTTCAGTTCCTTGACCCACAAACCTGGAATAAAAGTTAAAGCTAACAGAAGCACAGTGTTCACGTTATAGTTGGCATCTCTAAGCATGGATGGGCATGAGGATTTGAAGTTGCCACACTGAACAGACAAAAAGTAACATGTGACCAACACAAAGGAGCACAACAGTCACAAACCCAAAATGATTACCTGATCTGCTACAACACAAAACCAAAAGTAGCAACAAATAATCACAACCAAGTGATCTGTTGTCTCCACCACACAAACAGTCACATACAAGTGGCCCTATACCACAACAAGTTACTTTAATCCAAAAAGTTCAGTAAATCAAGCGTACTAGTGACCAACCACAAAATGGAGAGCTATGGCCACACAATGATCACATCAAGGGTGGCTCAGCACCCCACAGTGTTATTGCCATCACCTGGCCAACAACACTCACAAGTGATCCAACAAAATAGCCATATTCCCCACAACACTAAAGGTCACAGCACAAAACACTCACCTCACAAGGATCTCATTAGCATCCATCAACACTGACATATGCACACACATGGCGTACACACAATGCCAACTTAAAAACAGCCTACCTGCCTCAGCTACAGACCATAATCAAGAATGGTCTCAAACCTCCTACCAAGTTTGGTGCCACTGATTTTCTATGTGCAACTCCCAGCCTAAAACACTAAAAACAACAAAACCCTTACTTTTCCTACCCTAGTCTTCAGTGGTGTACCAGGCTCGAGGCAACTTTAAACGTGAACTCGAGAGCAGGCAGCAGACCAGAGATATAGTCTCCTACCAAACTCTGAAGCGTACCCCACCCAGGATAACCACCAAAAACAATAAACTAAAACAATAAAGCAAAACAACAAACAAGTGCTTCGATGGAAGGGCAGCACAGCCACCCAGCTGAAACACACTAACTAAAGGGAGTTTGCACAATTACAGTGACCACTATCACTCACCCACTTAAAAGCAAAACAAACTGACATTCAGTCTCCACTAAAATGTCCAAATATCCCGGACGAGCCACCACTTATGTTACGACCCGGCTCAAAAGCCGCAACATAAAAACGGAGATGAATAACAGAGTGTGGGTGAGAAGAAGTTTCATCATAAAACGGAAAACCAGGTTGGCTCAAATGGCTGGTACCACCAAGGCAAAGACTAGTGAGCTCCCCGGAAGCTTGCCTAAGGTATGCTTTTATCCACACTGACTAGGTGTGGCCAATTAGCACCAGCTGAAAACACTGAGACGATTAAAAGCTGCAGAGGGACGTAACAGCTGGTCACATTTTTGTTATTCATTTTTACTCTTTTTGAATGTTTTTACTTTAATTTCTTTTTAGCCTTATTGTTGTCTTAACTGAGTCTATTCATGTGTTTTTGTGGCTGTAAATGTTTTTTTCTCTGTGACAGCCAGTGGGCTGGCCTTGTGTTTTGCTTTTTCTGTTACCTGTTTCTTGCAGGTAGGTGGAGCTGACCCAATTATAGATGCAGCACACCTGAGAAGGCCAGTCCCAGTGTATATAAAGACACCTTGACGAAAGCAGCTGTGTTGCTCTGGCTCTCTCCATCATTTGGAAGTTTCAGTTATGGCTGTTATGTCCTTTAAGTTGTGTTTAAGTTGCTTTACCTTATTTTCATTAAATATGTCTTACAGCCTTTAAAAACCTGTGTGTGGTCTCCCACTTGCTTGTCATTTCCTCTGAGCCGGGTTGTCTCTTTTCTCTCTTTCTCTATTAAAGCAGTTGATGCAGATTTGATCTCAGCTGCAGTCAGTTTCAGTTTTTTTGATCTACAGAAAATGTAAACAAGAACAGAGTAAAGATTCATACCAGCCGCCAGCTGAACAGCAACCTGTTTGAAATGTCCCAGAGATTCTTACATGATGATGCTGGAAAAGGAAAATCAGGAGAAGATCTGACTGGAAAAACTAAAACAGCTGCATATATTCCAAGAAATTTCACAGGATGGACAATGGTTTGATAAGTAAGCCAATGTTGGGCTTAAATAACAGAAGAGGTGAACGTCAATTCCTCCATGATACACACCGTGCCTCAAGTAAGAGAAAACAAAAACATTATAAAATAAGGAAGAACAAGTCCAGGAACATCAAATCTGTGAGGCCAACAGACACAGAGGATGGAGGAGAGAGGGAGGATGGATCTGTTGGATTGAAACTTGGTCTGAGTGTGTCTGCTGGGTTTCTTTTTGCTGCTGTTGTTGGTTTTAGGATCTACTGGCATACACGACAAAAACAGAATTTTAACTAACATCCTGATGTTTGAAATGTCTCAGAGCTTCTCACATGGTGACGCTGAGAGAAACCTACATTATTAGTCTCACTGAAGAAACCTAAACACCAGATTACAAGTAAAAACAAAAAACAAAAAAAACACAAGAATTGCTTTATACCAAAAAGATTTCACTGCAGAGACAATGTTAAATAAAAGCTAAGAGTCCCTCAAGAAAGAGGGGGGGAAACATATAGTATCAAACAACTATTAAAAATTATTATTACGAAAAATAGGAGTAACAGACAAAAGTGGACGAAAGAGAGGCAAACTTGGCTCCACAAGTATAATTATAACGTAACATATATTATATCGATATAAAGGATATTGTCACATCTTATATCTCGTATAAAATATATAAAAATATATTTTTAAAAAACTAGATATATCACCCAGCCCTATTCTCAAGCATCTGTTGGAAAGTCCCAAGAAATTAGTCTGGTCAAGCAAGAATTAGTCTTTCTAATTAACATTGAGCTGAAAAGGTTCCAAAAAAAATACTGCCGACTGGAATATAATGAACTAAAGTTAAAGCCAACATCTTTCCTTATATATTTTGTATTGTGTGTGTAATTTAATTGAATAATGTGTATAGATGGCCCATAATATTTTAGAAATGTGCAAATGATAATAAAAACAGCAAAATTTTATGTTTGTCTGAAATGAGTATTTATTCATTTTCTGTAGATGTACCACTATTGTTATCTGAAATTTGCTGACGTACCATGGGTGGCAGCCCCAATCAGAGTTTGGAGGAACAGACACATTTAATTAAGGTTTAGAGTTCACTCATTTATAGAAATCCTCAATCTACAATCACTGGACCAGATTCTACATATACCATGCGCACACACACATTACAACACATGTGATAATAACATTTAAGCTTTTTACAAAATCCCAACATGCTCACCTATCAGACCTTCATTTTTTGGGGTCGTACGTTCAGTGAAGTTAAAGACAACGCTGCCTAAATCCAAATTCACACCGCATCGCCTGCAGTGTGAACGTAGCATAAGATTCATGTGTGAAAGTGTTCCTGCTGCTTTAAGTCTTGGCTCACATCAACTTTATCTGCTTTGAAGAAAACTCAAGTGTGTCTGGGTTCACCACAACTCATGTTTACCATCAGACATCTTAGTGAAACCCACAGAAGCACACGAGAAGATCAAGTGAGACCAAAGCCACCTTCGGCAGATATAACACCACATTTTGTGGTGGTTGAATAGCCCTCCACCACAGGGAGCTTTAACACAATCAGATGTGTCTGTGATGCATTTATTGTCCGTTTTCTTTTAAAGACAGTTTCATCAGTATGCAGAAACTCCAACACACTGTACATGAAGACCGTTTATTAATGGAGTTTCCCTCATATCACCAAATCTTGATATGCATCTATTAAAATAAGAGTTAGAATAGATTATAACAAAGTCAAAGTCTCTTTGCAAAGTTGTATCCTGTGGTTTTTTCCCCCTTCAAGCAAACTTGTTAAACATTTTATAAAACGGGGTTTTATTTTCACATCATATTTTATAATGAACAATGATCCATCATGTAGATACAGAAAAAGCTGAGTGCAGCTGTACCTGAAAATTATTTTGTCCATTAAATGAGTTGCAATCAAATCAGCTCTGCTGTCAACAGACAAACTTAACAGAAACTAAGATTCATGTGTGAAATCGTTCCTGCTGTCTGTGGCTCACATGAACTTTATCTGCTTTGAAGAAAACTGAAGTGTTTTGGGTTCATCACAACAACTCAGGTTGTCCATCAGACATCTTTGTGAAACAAACAGAAGATCAAGTGGGACCAAAGTTTATTGAAACTGCAAAGAAACCAGATCACTGCTGTGGAGACGACAGCACTTAGAAACAAAATACAGATAACAGTAAAGTTACTGAACACATGGAAACACGACACAATCAATAACTTTAGTCAATCCAGCTTCATCAGAGCTTATTGGAAATTATCCAGTTTAATGTCTCATTGTACTCTGAAATGAAAGCACAGTACAAATAAGCAATTGGAGTTAAAAAAGAAATCAGAATCAATTCAAAGACAAATGTATTCTCAACTTCTCAAAGTAGCCACCTTTGGCAGATATAACAGCAGAACACAGCCGTGGCGTTCTTTCTACAATGTTTGACACTTGTAGGTTGCTTTGCTTTCACTCTTCGGTCCAGTTCATCCCAAACCAGCTTGATGGGGTTTAAGTCTGGAGACCGTGCTGGCCACTCCATATTTTAAGCTTACCAGAGGGTACTGCATGGCGCTGCAGAATGCTGTGTAACCATTCTTTCGCCTACTCGATGGCGTACACAGATCCTGCGTGATGAACCGAAGATTTCAGATTATAATTCATCAGACTACAAGACCTACATCTAAGTGTTATGACGGTCTGTCTCTCCTCCATTGTTAATTACTTTTTCTCACCATGTTCTCTAGCAACAAGGACAATGCTGTTCCCCTGATGCTCACGTGGCCATGGTACACCAGTGTTCCAGCACTGCTTTTATGCAGACAGAGGGGGCTGTGGGTAATCCAGAAACATTGGACCACCTGTAAGAATTGATTATAATTATTGAGGTTAATTGAAATGATTCATCTTAAAGTAAAAGTACAAGGAAGCAACCGAAATGGCAAAAATAAACACGGAAAAAAGACAGACATACACACATTTTATTAGTCATTTAAGCTTTATTTATATTAAGATTAAGAGTAAGATTATTATATTTTCTTTTCAGATACTAAAAATAAACATCAGTGTCAGTCTCCCTTCATTCTGTCAAGCTGACAAACAAAGCAGAGTTAAAGTCAAGTCCTCAAACTCTCCTGGGGCCTGTTTGATAGGAGAGTGACCCCAAACACACTTCCAGTGTGTATAGTACCAAATCATAACAACAATTGCATCAGTGGGCTTTATAAGGCTATAATAAGGTAAAGACTACCATAATATCACCATGGTAACTTGATGTGAACATAACCTATTCTGGAGCCGATTAGAAATCCGCAGGTATGAAATCACCACCTTGTGCTATCCTCGCCCACTTATCAACCAGTCAACATCCACTTCTAGCACCACGCAGTCAGGATTGTGGAGGACTGCATGGGGACACGTCTCACTTAAGTGACCCGACCCAACCTTGGATGGAGACATTTGCTCACACAGAAAGATGTAAGGCAAAAGAAGTGTGTATTATTAGGGTGACAGCTGCACATTAGAGCTCTGAAACTTTAAACACTTTCTGTCCCACAGCCTGACAAAGGAGACGTGGAAATCTCTGCAGTTTGTCCCAAAAGGAAATTAAATCGATCGATTAAAAAGCTGTTTCTTGATCTTTCATCTGGATGACAACCTGCCCTACAGCACAAGTCACCATGGCGACTCACCACAGTAAGAAGGGAACCACCTTCATGGTACAGAAAACCCAGACCTGCATGTACACCCTTAGTCCTACAGAGCAAATCATGTCTTCTCCTCCATCATCAGTTATCAGGAGAGCAGACAGTCAAAGTCCAAGAATTCAAACAAACTCAGAGATTCTACTTACAGAGCAGACACAGCACAGATGTTTCCTTCATCGTCCTTCTCACTCATTTCAGCTTCTTTTCATTTCTGTCACTGACACCAAGTAAAGCCCGCCCTCTTCCTCTGAGCACCTCCTCTGAGCACCTTTCTGTTGGTACAAAAACAGTATATATATATATATATATATATATATATATATATATATATATATATATATATTTAACAGGTTTTCATTTGAATTAAAACCTAGGAGAAGTGAAATGAGTATTTATTTATTTTCTGTAGATGTACCACTATTGTTATCTGAAATTTGCTGATGTACCATGGGTGGCAGCCCCAATCAGAGTTTGGAGGAACAGACACATTTATTTAAGATTTAGAGTTCACTCATTTATAGAAATCCTCAGTCTACAATCACTGGACCAGATTCTACATATACCATGCGCACACACACACGCATTACAACACATGTGATAATAACATTTCAGCTTTTTACAAAATCCCAACATGCTCACCTATCAGACCTTCATTTTTGGGGTTGTGCGTTCAGTTAAGTTAAAGACAACACTGCCTAAATCCAAACATTTTTTGCTTTGCTTAGTCATTCAAAAATGCTACTGCCAACAAACTGCTCTATGAAACAGTTGTTAAAAAAAATTGAATAGCTTACTTCAAAAGGTTTACAAGCATTTTGCACAGATGACTGGTCAGGAAGTTTATTTTCATTGTATTGTAAACTAATATGGTAAATATTTGCAGAGCTGATGGATGGATGGGGAATTCAGTTCATGAGGAACATTTATTCATCATAAAATGCACAAAATTAAACCATGACTGAAACATATGATGGAATTCATACTTGCTGAGGTGTCGGATGTTTTTTGTAACCATCAATAATTCAGCACAAAGCACATGCAAAACATGTTTTCACATCTTCCTGATTTCCCCATGAATTTGTTTGAGTGTTTGTGTGTCTAAGTCATTCACTGTTCTTCCGTTTGAGCCATGTTGCTGTATAATGGGAAGCCAAATATGCTCCCACTTGCACCCTCCCTATTCTCTGATGTGGCAAAACGTTCTTGAGGGTAGATTTCGATATAAAATCCAAAAATAACTTCTGTAGCTATAAGATATTAATTCTAATTGAGATCAGTTTAAGTTTTTTTTTTAAGTTCCCTTTAATTGTTTCAAAATAAAAGCATTGTTAAGAAATGAAGACTGAGAAATTTGACAATTTAATATTTAAAACAATGCAGGAAGTGCTGAGATGTGCATACTCATTGTGATACAACAAGTTTCACTTTTATGATCATCATTAAAACTGAATTAATCAGTGTTTACGTTCACATTCAATTTGATGTTCTGCTTGTATCCATGTTAGTGTTTAAAGTCCAACATCTCCCTCTAGTGGCCATATATAAACATGTGTGAGGATGGTGTTAATGTAAAATGTGAATCATAGTGTTCCAGTCAGTCATCAGTGTGTCTCTGCACAGCTGTAATTAAAATGTGTTCAGAGGGCCTCAGTGTCTGAATGGTTCCAGTTCAGCTCCATAACAGCAGCGTCCCTGGTTTGATTCCTGTGTTTCAGCTCATATCTGCCTCTCTCACTGAGGGGGACGTCCACTACATGGACATGGATTTGTTCATCAACCAAACTACAGATCACTGAGAGCAGAGGACATTTGAACTTTCTTTGTTTTATTTATTTATTTATTTTACTTTGTTTTCATTTGGTTAACCAATGAATATTTTATTTTAAAGTATTTTGGGAAAACAGACAAAAAGTTGCAACTCATATTTTATGAAAAAGCTTCGATGATGATGTCTCTTTCGTAATTAGAAAAAGTGAGCCCCCCCACCTCTGTGTTTGAACCAATAGAAAGCTGGTGCTCAGAGGAAGAGGGCGGGCTTTACTTGGTGTCAGTGACAGAAATGAAAAAAAGCTCAAATGAGTGAGAAGGACGATGAAGGAAACATCTGTGCTGTGTCTGCTCTGTAAGTAGAATCTCTGTGTTTGTTTGAATTCTTGTACTTTGACTGTCTGCTCTCCTGATAACTGATGATGGAGGAGAAGACATGAAAAACAAATCAGGCTGAATTCAAGTTCAAACACCACGAGGACCAACTGCAGGTCTGAACTGACTCTTTATCTTTGCTCAGGAGTCGAGGAAACACTATAGAGGATATCCTTTGTATACTTGCTGTAAACATTATAACCAAGGTAAAAGTTCCTCCAAGACAGTATAAAAACATTTTTAAAATTTTAAAATTAGACCTAAAAGGTGTCAGAGAAGTGCTGTGGTTAGTGACTGTGTGATGCATGCAGAGCGTGGACTCAGCAGACTGACTGAAGACACAGCTTTATTGGTTGATCTGATATCCTCGTGTTGGTGTTGTTCCCAGATCATCATACTAAATGTTGTTCCAGGATCAACATTGCAAGTGACCAATCAGAATGTTGTGACGTCATACTTTTGCGACTTCGGGAAAAACCGGCGTAAAACAAAAAACTGTACTTAAGCTGCGTGAAACCGCCTCTGTCCGCCGATCAACAGACCCTGACCCTAACCCTAACCGTAACCCTTTAATAAACAGTAAGCAGAATTGATATTGTCCTTGCAACATTGGAATTTCATAAATGCACGAATGGCTTGGCGCGCAAAGGAATAACGTCACAACAATGTGATTGGTCACTTGCAATGTTGAACCTGGAACAACATTTTCATGATGGTTTGGGAACAACACCAACATGAGGATATCAGATCATCCAGCTTTATTAGGTGGAAACTGTCAAATTTAAACAAAATATAAGGCAGACTGACTGAAAAAAAAACAAACAAACATGGATTAACTGATAGACAGGAGAGCACACAGCATGAAGCAGATCAGGATAGGGACTGATTAAAAATCAGGGGTTAAATATACACATGAGACATGTTTGGTTAACTGGGGAAGGTATGGATGATGATGATGATGATTATGATACTTCCAACAGCAGCTTCACACACCTTTTGGTGTTTTGTTGATCAAACTTTATTGAAACATTGATTTGTCTATGTTATGACCCAGCTCTGTTAGGGAATCAAAGGAGTTAAAAAGTTTTGTTACAAAACACTAAAGAATGATACAGGCATCTACTACAAATAAATAACCAATGCAAAAACAACTTGCTTGCTTAAAGCCTGTATAAATCAAAACTAGCCTCACAGGCTGTAACACAACTAACATTACTCGAGAGAATATCACAATTTAGGCTCACAGAGAGAAGACTGCAGAGACTCACATACTGCACACTCAGTTCTAAACAGCAGCGCCTGAATCAATGCTCTTCATTGCATTGTAAAGACACGGGTGTGTCAAATCAGCCATTGATTGGTCCCTTTTTCTGGAGGTGCAAACCACAGGTTCCCAGTCAGCCAATCGTCTGTGGGTGTTGCCACACTTGAATTTGCTTGAAGGCAGGCTGGCTCCCTTCTTCCAAGGCCAAGGGCTGTAACAGACTACTGCCATGTCCTAATTCAGGGCTGCATCCTTTGGGGGGCGCATTTGAAGACCGATTACGTCACAGTGACGCGACAAAGGCTGTCCAAATTCGAGGGCTGCTTCAAATGCAGCCGACTTCATGGACCAGCCTATCCCAGAATTCAAGCAGCCCAGCCAATTCCAGTCTCCAACAATGACAGCAGCTACTTAGTTTTAATATTACTCTTATTTCTCTTTTCAACACTTTATTAATTGAAGTAGTATTTATAATATTTATAATATTTTTATAATAATATAAAAATACTTTTCAAATGTGGCAATGGCATAGGCAAAAGAGTTTGAAATATCACTCTTTCTGGGTCACAAAACAAACTTTTAACATATTTTCAGACAAGAATGCAGCTGTGTAAACTTCAAATATCTGCTCGGTTTATCAAGACATCACATATTTGCAAAAGTACTCTGACTTTTTCGGAGACGTCTTTACCCGCCAGCTTGATAGCTGACTGGGAGGTCAAGGCTCACTAGAGCCGGTGAGAACACTCGACTCCCGGCACATCATTCTCATCCCCGCAGTCTTTCACTACTCAGGTTAAACATGATATATAAGCTACTTAGATAACTTACAAATGTTATTGTTTGGCTTTTTTCAGTGTTTTATTTGTTCCCGAGTAATTTGGCTGAGATTAAAGTTCTAGTTTTCACACAGCTGAATAAACGTCAAATAGAAAACATTTTAAACAGAAGTGTGAGATGCTCGAGAATATACTCCAGTGTCCTGTTATATTTTAGTGAGCAAGGAGCAGACAGCCGAGTTCATTAAACTCCACCAAGACAGTAGTGATGCATATCTAAAGGCTAGGCTGTCCCATTTCGAAGGACCTGGTCCATGTAGACCGCAAAGTCTGGGTCCTCAGGAAGATACACCCCCCGAATTGGGACATATTAAACATCTGTTTTATGCCATTTCCTTTATTTTGTCTTCATTTCCACAACTCCCAGATCCTAGTTCTCTCTATTTTCCTTATTTAAGCTTTTTTTTTCCTTCCAGTGTATCCAAATTGCGCGGTCATGGGGAGTTCTCTGATTTGAGGGGTTTCTCAGCAAAGAACTTTCAGCTTTAAAATTTGGCATTTTAAACAAAATAAAATTGAACTGAATTAAATTTAAGTCAATATTTGATGTAAGGATTAATCATTTATAAAGGAAAAATTTTTTTTAAATACACTCAACTGGCAGAGAGTGCTGTTGGAAGTTGTTCTTTATGTTCACCTCAAATCAACCTGAGTGTCATTTCTCTTTAGTTCTGATCTCACTGCTGAGCTGCACAACAAACCAAGGTCAGTAACCTTCTTCTGTCACAGTTTAAACCTGAGAAATGCTCACTGATATGACCTGATTGGGTTCATGTTTGTCAACGCAAACTTCATGCGCTTCATATGTTAATATAACACCTCAAGGGGTTGCCACACTTGAAGCATCCACACTGACAAGGATGCATCCTGGGTGAGGTGTTCTGGGCATGTCCCACAGGGAAGAGGCCCGGGGCAGACCCAGGACACTGAAGAGATTGTATCTGTCAGCTGGCCCAGTGACACCTTGTGTTTCCCAAGATAAGCTGGAGGAGGTGGGTGGGGAGAGGGAGGTCTG